GCTTCAGATTCTGTGTCTCCCTCTCTCTCTCTGTTCCTTGCCTGCTCATTCTCTGTCTCTCTCTCTCTCTGTTTCTCAAAAATAAGTAAATGTTAAAAAGAATTTAAAAATATATTTTTAAAAGTAGTAATGGGACATTTTATATCCTTTTATTCATATATTTTTTTTTATTTTTTTACACTCTAGAGTGTATTTTATATTATAGCATATCTCAATCCAGGCCAGCTACATTTCAATCAGCTATATTTCTAGTGGTGCTCATACTGATCAGTACTAACCTAATGAATCTAATCTTCCTGATGATCAAGAGTTCTTTAGTTTAAGTCAGGTGCTTAGGGAAGACTAGACAAAAGGGTTAGACATTATTGTCATAGCCCAATGTTCATCTAAGGCCAATAAAGTAGGAACTACAAAGAACAAATTAATTCTGTTTAATAAACTTATAATCTAACCAAATTAATATTATACTTTTGAAAGTTTAACAATTTGTTTCATAAAGTAACCTTAATGCAATACCCAAAGAACTAAAATATATACACACACATATAATTTTTTATATGCCACATTCTATAACTCCTAAAAGGTCATATTTTTGAATGGCATCTAGTTGCCAGTTCCTGATATAGCATTTTATGAAACCATAAAAAAAAAAAAAAAAAAAAAAAAAAAAAAGGAAAGAATGAAGACAGAAGGAAGGAGAGACGAAGGATGAGGCAATGAAGAAGCAGAAAAACAGGATAAAAACTTGCAATATGAAAATATATAGACTTCCTGGGTTCAAATCCTGACCATGCCACATGCTAAGAACTCTTGGGCAGAGTGTTGGACTCCTCTCTATGCTTCATTTTTCCCATCTATGAAATGATAATAGTCATGGTACCTCACAAAAATGTTAAATGAGTTAATACATTTAAAACATTTATACCAGTGCTGACATATAATATATACTTAAATGTTTCTATTAATCGTCATAATAAAAATTCAGACCAACAACTGATAAGTGGAATCTGGTAAGAATTTCTAATTATGAAAACAACAGAACTGGATTGAAAGATACAAGTAATAACTAGCACAAAAGAACAAAAATCAAGCATGCTACACATGTGAAAGATCATATGAAATGCTTTATCTTTTGCCCATCATCTAACCACCTGACTTGGAAATACAAATATCATGTCACTTACAAAGCTGGGCAATAGTTGCTATACTGCACAGGTATACATCCTCGTAGCTGCCACAGTGTTGTTCCCATGACTTACTCTCTTCCTGTATTTCTACACTCAGAAGAACACTGCACACCCCAGAAAACGTGTGTTGTAAACAGAAGTAGAGAGGAAGGCAGTTTTGGCACAGACACACAGTAGTACAGAAGGTGTAAGGTTTGTAAGTAAAGCTTTATCAAGTGAGAGGTGAGACCAGGAATTCATGCAGGCAGTCACGTTGAGAGCCATAGACTCTCTCACTCTTGTTCTGATGAGAATGTCAGAGAACAAGGCAACGAAGGGAAGCAAGTCAAGATCCCATTATCTGCCCAGAAAAGCTGCCCCCAGATGACAGATTTTTAACAGAAGGCACGCCCTAGAGGATATACAAAACAACTCACTTTAGAGCTGAAGATATAAAAAGGAACCCAAGTAAACAGAGCAGGGCCAAGGGCAATCTGGACCCTTTGTTGGCAAACACTGACTATGAACAAATCTACCCTTAAATAGAAGAGAAACAACAGGGCCTAGGGAAAAAAAAAAAAAAAAAAAAAAAAAAAAAAAAAAAAAAAAAAAAAAGATTATTTGACAAGG